AAAAAAAAAAAAAAAAAAAAAAAAAAAAGAAGGGAGGGAGAGGGAGGGAGGGAAATGATTAAAGAAAGAAAGATCCAGGCTCTGGAAAGGCTGAAGTTCAAACCTCAGTTCTGCCCTGAGTTAGCTGTGTGACTTTCAACCAGTGACTTCACCGCTCTGTGCCTCACTTGCCCCATCTAGAGAATGGGGGATAATAACAGCTGCTACATCGGAAGGTGGTAAAGATTAAACGAGTTAAGTGTTTGGTGGCCGTCTGAAATAGCTCCCTGAGGGCCTGAGACTATGCCCCAAGTCAAGGGGGAGACAGTCCTCTGACGGGGGAAGAGGTAACCAGGCTGCTGTCCCCAGCTCTTCCCTGCCCCAGAAGGAAGCATTCTCCCCCTCAATGGGGAGGGTTGCAGCTTCCAGCCCAACCTGACTCCAGGTGGGGTTCCTTGAGCAAGCCTACACCTGCGTCATCCGTATTGACCCTGTTGGATGTAATGAAGCTTTCAGCCCCACCTGTTCCTCTTTCTTCCATTTCCCAATTTCTTTGAACCCAGCCAGACTCCCTGGCGTCACCAGCAGCTCACATTGAACCGATGAATCCGCATAACAAGACTGTGAGTTAGAAACGGTTCTTATTTCCCCATTACAAGTGTATCCACTCCCGAAGTGCTTGCTGAACATCTATGTTGCTCCAGATACGGCGCTAGGGGCCAAGGAGGCATGAAGGCAAAATCCCTGACCTCGAGGCACGCACGTGCTAGTTAGGGGCAAGAGACAGTAATTAAGATCAAAGTCAGAATCCCAGCACTTCGGGAGGCTGAAGTGGAAGGATCGCTTGAGCTCAGGAGTTTGAGACCAGCTTGGGCAACATAGGGAGTCCCTGACTCTACAATAGCAAAAAATTAGCCAGGCATGGTGCTGGGTGCCTGTGGTCCTAGGTACTTGGCAGGCTGAAGCAGGAGAACTGCTTGAGTTGGAGAGGTGGAGACTGCACTAAGCCACGATCATGCCACTGCATTCCAGCTTGGGAACACAGCAAAATTCTGTCTCAAAAAAAAAAAAAAAAGTCAGCATGTAACAAGGAAAAATAAGGCTGAGGAATAGGAAAAGAAGTTGCCAATGTATGGCAGGGAAAACCATGCTGAGAAAGTGACATTAGAACAAAGACTTGAAGAAGTGGGAGCAGATGAAGGCCTGGAGGTGGTAAGGTACGTGTTGTGTTCAAAGAGTAGAAGGGAGGGCTGAGCATGGTGGCTTGTGCTTGTAATCCCACCACTTTGGGAGGCTGAGGTGGGCAGATCATTTGAGGTCAAGAGTTCGAGACCAGCCTGGTCAACATGGTGAAACTCCGTCTCTACTAAAAACACAAAAATTAGCCTGGTGTGGCGGCGTGAGCCTGTAATCCTAGTTACTCAGAAGGCTGAGGCAGGAGAATTGCTTGCGCCCAGGGGGCGGAGGTTGCAGTGAGACGAGATCACACCACTGCACTCCAGCTTGGGCCACAGAGCAAGACTCTGTATCAAAAAGAAAAGCAAAAAACAAAAAACTGAGGCCCAGAAAGATTATACAGCTTGCCCAAGGTCACACAATAGTGTGGCGGAGCCTGGATTCAAACCCTGATTCTGGGCTCATAACCACCTCAATAAATAGTACCTATCTGATATTCTTCATTTTCAAATGTCTAGCAACTTCTAAGCTTCTTCCTACTTCCCCTGCTGCCCCCTAGAGCCTCCAAGTCTCCTGTCTCAATGCGGAGCAGAACCAGCACCTCCAGGCCTCCCTCAGCCGCTTGCACCGGGTGGCACAGGTAACCCCTCCTGCCAGGGTCTGGCTCCAGTGCCCCTGCTGGATGCCCAGGAGGGCGCTGACCACTGTCTCTGTCGCCCTCAGCATGCCCGGGCCCGGCACGTGCGGCTCCTGGTGGATGCGGAGTACACCTCACTGAACCCCGCGCTCTCACTGTTTGTGGCTGCCCTGGCCGTGCGCTGGAACAGCCCGGGGGAAGGCGGGCCCTGGGTGTGGAACACCTACCAGGCCTATCTAAAGGTGTGTGGCGTGTTCCGGGAGGTGCAGGCTGGGGTCCCCACACCCCGACCTACCAGAACCTGCCCGCGTGCCCTGCAGGACACACTTGAGCGGCTAGAGCGGGACACAGAGGCGGCGCACAGGGCTGGCCTGGCCTTTGGAGTGAAGCTGGTACGGGGTGCGTATCTGGAAAAGGAGAGAGCAGTGGCCCGGCTCCAAGGGACCGAAGACCCCACTCAGCTTGACTATGAGGCCACCAGTCGGAGGTAGGCCTGGGCCAGCTGGCCTCTGCAGGAAACAATAACACCTGGTGGCCGGGTGCAGTGGCTCGTACCTGTAATCCCAGCACTTTGGGAGGCTGAGGTTGGAGATTCACTTGAGAACAGGAGTTGGAGACCAGCTTGGGCAACATAGGGAGACCGCATCTCTAAACAAATGTTAAAAATGTCACATGGCAGTATGTGCCTGTAGTCCCAGCTACTTAGGAGGCTGAAGTGGGAGGATCACTTGAGGCCAGGAATTCAAGGCTGCAGTGAGCCATGACTGCACCAGTGCACTCCACCCTGGGCGACAGAGCGAGACTCTGTCTCAAAACAAACAAGCAAAAAAACGAAAAGAAATCCTTACAGTGGCCTCTAAGCCACACATGCTCTGGTCTGTCACTTCCGTAACTTCCCTCACTCTCTTCCTCTCCCTCCCTCCACTGCAGACACTCTGGCCTCCTTGATGATCCCCAGGGCCTTGGCTTTTCCTGTTCCCACTACCTGGGACATTGCCCCTGCAGACAGTAGCATGGCCCCATCCTTCACCTCCTTAGATCTTTACTTCCTGGTACCTTCTCTGGGGGCCACAGGGACTCACACAGGTTACAGAGCAGGTGGCCTAGCCATGCTTGAGGGCTCCAGGGCACATTTGTGTCCCATCGGCTTAACTGGCACCAAGCCAGGCACAGTGGTGTGTGCCTGTCACCCTAGCTACTTGGGAGGCTGAGGTGGGAAGACTGACCCCAGGAGTTTGAGCCCAATCTGGGCAACATAGCGAGACCCTGCCTGTAAAAACATTAAAAATAAAAAATTATGGGCCGGGCATGGTGTCTCACACTTGTAATCCCAGCACTTTGGGAGGCTGAGGCAGGCAGATCGCCTGAGGTCAGGGGTTCGAGACCAGCTTGGCTAACATGGTGAAACCCTGTCTCTACTAAATATACAAAAATTAGCTGGGCACGGTAGCACATGCCTGTAATCCCAGCTGCTCGGGTGGCTGAGGCAGGAGAATTGCTTGAACCCAGGGGGCAGAGGCTGCAGTGAGCTGAGATCACCACTGCACTCCAGCTTAGGTAAAGAGTGAGACTCTGTCTCAAAAACAAACCAACCAACAAATCCCCCCAAAAAAACCCAAAAGATGAAAGTGGCTCAGAGAATCGTTGTTTGTCCCTTGCAGCTGGTGAGGATAGAACTGGGTACTGGTTCCAGAGATCCCTCACTTAGGAGCACCCCACCCCCAATCCCTGGGGCCTGACCCTCGCTCACCAGGTGAGCTGAACAGAGTATATCTTCCTTCAGTTACAGCCGCTGCCTGGAACTGATGCTGACGCACGTGGCCCGCCATAGCCCCATGTGCCACCTCATGGTGGCTTCCCACAATGAGGAATCTGTCCGCCAAGCGACCAAGTGGTATGAGATGGAGGGATGGGCGGGAAATAGGTGCCCACAAAAGGGCCCTCCCTTTCTCTCCCTTTGTTGAACGCCAGAGATGGACAGAAGTGTTCTGCAGAATATTTAAAAAATATTTATAGCCAGGCGCGGTTGGCACACGCCTATAATCCCAATACTTTGGGAGGCTGACGTGGAGGATTGTTTGAGACTGGCCTGGGCAACATAGCAAGACCCCATTTTTTTACTAGCATCTTTAAATCTAATCAGATTAGAGCAAGACCCCATTTCTACAACAAATTTCTTTTTTATTTATTTTTTTTAAGACGGGGTTTCACCATGTTGGTCAGGCTGGTCTTGAACTCCCGACCTCAGGTGATCTGCCCGTCTTGGCCTCCAAAGTGCTTGGATTACAGGCATGAGCCACTACACCCAGCTCCACAACAAATTTAAAAAAACAGCTGGGTGCGGCGGCACACACCTGTAGTCCCAGCTATTTGGGAGGCTGAGGTGGAAGGATCGCTTGAGCCCAGGAGGTTGAGGCTGCAGTGAGCGGTGCTTGAGCCACTGCACTCCAGCCTGGGTAACAAAGCAAGACCCTATCTCTTAAACAAAAAACACATTAACCCCTGCTATACCTGTAGGTCCTTATAGGTCCCAGATGGACAAAAAACATTGTCCCTTATTTGCTAGGGCATGAGGAGTTCTGAGGGCTCCAGGAAAGTGGCTGGGAGTCAGTGCGGGGGGGGGAGGGGAGGAAGGGTGCTTCAAGGAATGCAAAGGACTCGGTATTATTTGTCATTGAGTTTGGAAACATGTCAATATTTGAATTATTGTGCTGAGCGCAGTGGTTCACCCCTGTAATCCCAGCACTTTGGGAGGCTGAAGCTGGTGGATCACCTGAGGTCAGGAGTTCGAGACCAGCCTGACCAACATGGCAAAACCCCATCACTACTAAAAATACAAAAATTAGCCGGGCATGGTGATGGGTGCCTGTAATCCCAGCTACTCACGGGGTTGAGGCAGGAGAATTGCTTGAACCAAGGAGGTGGTGGTTGTAGTGAGCCAAAAACCCACCCACGCACACCAACCAGGGCAAAAAATTGAGTATTTGTGTTAAAAAAAAAAAAAAAAAAAAATTTTTTTTTTAAATTAGTGGAGCCACCATATGGGTGCATAGTGGCTGACTTTAAGCTCTAGATGCAGCCACGGTCTGGACTGATGATGTGGCCTTTTCTATAGCATGTGGGAGCTGGGCATTCCTCTGGATGGGCCTGTCTGTTTCGGACAACTTCTGGGCATGTGTGACCACGTCTCTCTGGCACTAGGTATGTGAATGGCTCCCCCACCCCCACCAAGCCCCAGGTGTCACTACCTCCCAGCCAGAGCCCTTCTTCTATTCCCAACCAATGGCCAGCCTCCAGATCCTTCAAGAGAGATCTGTCATTCCAATGTCTGCGAGCCTTCCAAGGCTGTGTCTCTGTGTCTGCTGTCTGCCATTTCTGCTAATTCTTAATCATGATGTAGTATTTCTTGTGTGTCTTGTTATCTTTGCTCTGCTGCTCCTCAGGGCCTGACACTAGATAACGTTTCCTTCTGCCAGGTGCTAAGGAGAATGAAATAACTTTATCCTAAATTCACAGCTTGAGGTTTCTTGAGACACCCCACTGGTGCAAATTTGAGCTGCAAATACATAAAGAGGTTAACCCATAGCCCCAACTTCCCAGAAGTAGATTTATTTGTTTTCTTCCTTGACCTGTTTATGGCTGAGACAATTCCTTGGGACTGGGGGAAGGTCAGAGGGTTGACTTTCTATAACTCTTACTCTGAGGGTGTAGCTTTTCTGGGTTCCAGCTTAATTTGGAGAAGTTCTCCCTTACACCTCTCACCTCAGTTAGGCTTGAAGTCTAACTCAGCTGTACCCCTACAACTCTGTGAAGCCATCAGATAGCAGCTTGGTTTTGCCTTCAGGGCAGGAGTGGTTTACTGGTTGTCCCTTCTCTCTCTGGGTTCTAATTCTCTCTTATTTATTTATTTATTCATTTATTTAGAGATGGAGTCTTGCTCTGTCACCTAGGCAGGAGTCTAGTGGTGCCATCTCGGCTGACTGCAACCTCCACCTCCCAGATTCAGGCAATTCTCCTGCCTCAGCCTGCCAAGTAGCTGGGATTACAGGCACCTGCCACCACACCCGGTTAATTTTGTATTTTTAGTAGAGATGGGATTTCGCCATGTTGGCCAGGCTGATCTCAAACTCCTGACCTCAGCTGATCCGCCTGCTTTGGCCTCCCAAAGTACTGGGATTACGGGCGTGAGACACCATGCCCAGCCTTACTTTCTTTTAATTGTTAGATTGGTAAATTTCTTACTCTCTTGGCAGCATTCTAATAACTAAGTTTTTTTTAAATGCAGGCCAGATGCAGTGGCTCACACCTGTAATCCCAGCATTTTGGGAAGCTGAGGCAGGAGGATCACTTGAGCCCAGGAGTTTGAGACCAGCCAGGGCAAGATAGTGAGAGGCCCCCGCACCTCTACAAATAATAAAAACAATTAGCTGGGGCAGGGCGTGGTGGCTCACTGCAATCCCAGCACTTTGGGAGGCCAAGGTGGGTGGATCACTTGAGGTCAGGAGTTCAAGACCAGCCTGGCCAACATGGTAAAACCCATCTCTACTACTAAAAATACAAAAAGTGGCCATGCGTGATGGTGCATGCCTATAATCCCAGCTACTTGGGAGGCCGAGGCAGAAGAAACACTTAAACCCAAGAGGCAGAGGTTGTAGGGAACTGAGATTGTGCCACTCTACTCCAGCCTGGACAACAGAGCAAGACTCTGTCTCAAAAACAAAATAAATAGGCCAGGCTCAGTGGTTCATGCCTGTAATCCTAGCACTTTGGGAGGCCGAGCCGGGTGGATCACCTGAGGTCAGGAGTTTGAGACCAGCCTGGCCAACATGGGGAAACCCCATCTCTACTAAAAATACAAAAATTAGTCGGCATGGTGGTGCACGCCTGTGGAGGCTGAGGCAAGAGAACCACTTGAACCTGGGAGGTGGAGGTTGCAGTGGGCCAAGATCTCGACACTGCACTCCAGCCTGGGTGACAGAGCGAGACTCCATAAAAAATAAATAAATAAATAAATAAAATAAGAATAAAATAAGCTGGGTGTGGTGGTGTATGCCTGTGGTCCCAGCTATTCAGGAGGCTGAGGTGGAGGACTGCTTGGGCCTGGGAGGTCAAGGCAGCAGTGAGTCATGATAACAACACTGCACTCCAGCCTGGGCCACAGAGCAAGACTATGTCTCAGAAAAAAAAGTTTGCTCCAGGACTTGCTTTCAGCTTTTTCAGTTAGGAATTTTATCCAACTCAGTTAATCTGCCATGTTCTCAGAAACAGAAATCTCTGTTCCAGGTGGGGACTGGGGAGTCTCTCCCCAACCCAAGCCCATACCCTGTCAACACTCCAGGCTGGGCGAGGTGGCTCACACCTGTAATCCCAGCACTTTGTGAGGCCAAAGCAGGATTACTTGAGGTCAGGAGTTCGAGATCAGTCTGGCCAACATGGTGAAACCCCATCTCTACTAAAAAATACAAAAAATAGCAGGGTGTCGTGGTGAGCTCCTGTAATCCCAGCCACTCTGGAGGCTGAGGCACGAGAATTGCTTGAACCCGGGAGGTGGAGATTGTAGTGAGCCAAGATCGCGCCATTGTACCCCAGCCTGGGGAACAGAGTGAGACTCTGTCTCAGAAAAACACCAAAAACCGTGGCCGGGTGCGGTGGCTCACACCTGATATCCCAGCACTTTAGGAGGCCGAGGCAGGCGGATCACAAGGTCAGGAGTTGGAGACCAGCCTGACCAAAGTGGTGAAACCCCGTCTCTACTAAAAATACAAAAGTTAGCTGGGTGTGGTGTGGCACGCCTGTAATCCCAGCTACTCAGGAGTCTGAGGCAGAAGAATCATTTAAACCCAGGAGGTGGAGTTTGCAGTTAGCCGAGATCACGCTATTGCACTCTAGCCTGGGTAACAGAGCGAGACTCCGTCTCAAAAAAAAAAAGAAAAGAGAAAAGAAAAAGAAAAACACCAAAAAATAAAAAACAAAACCCACTCTCCCTGCAGGGCAGGCCGGCTACGCAGTGTATAAATCCATCCCCTATGGCTCCTTGGAGGAGGTGATCCCCTACCTGATCCGGAGGGCCCAGGAAAACCGGAGTGTGCTTCAGGGTGCCCGCAGGGAACAGGAGCTGCTCGCCCAAGAACTGTGGCGACGGCTGCTGCCTGGATGCCGGAGGGCACCCCACTAGCACCCCTGAGGGGATCATGTGGTCAATAAAGGTTCTTAGGCACTGCCTAGGCTGCTGTCCTGCACTGAGGCCGCCTCCTTGGGGAAGGGCTCATCTTGACCTCAGCCAGCCCATGCTAGGGGTTTTGTAGTACAAGAGAGATCATTAGGCTGGGCATGGTGGCTCATGCCTAGAATCCCAGCACTTCGGGAGGCCAAGGTGGGAGGCTTGCTTCAGTCCAGGAGTTCAAGACCAGCTTGGGCAACACAGCAAGATTCTTTGTCTACAAAAAATTAAGTCATTATTGTGTGGTGGTGCATGCCTGTGGTCCCAGCTACCGAAGGCTGAGGCGGGAGGGTCACTTGAGCCCAGGGGTTTGAGGCTGCAGTGACCTATGACTGCACCACTGCTCTCCAGCCTGGGTGACAGAAAGAGGTTGTTTTTTTTTAATTGAGCATAGCCAGGGCATTGATGGAGGACTAAGGAAGCCTCTCCCACCTCTGAGGCAGCCTGTCTGTCCTAAGTCAAGTCTGGCGAGCGACTGACACACAACTTTCTTCATCCCAGGGGATGCCTAAATTAGGAAGGGCGCACATGGGGAGCAGAGACCAAGGCACTGAAGTCAAGGGGCCAGGTACAGGCCATGTGGCCAGGGAGGGACAGAAGAAAGAGCCACGCCACTCTCTCAGTTAGTAAGCACTGAATGAAACTAGGCACAGTGGCTCATGGCTATACTCCCAGAACTTTGGGAGACCAAGGTGGGTGGATTGCTTGAGGTCAGGAGGTTGAGACCAGCCTGGGCAACATAATGACACTTCATCTCTT